GGACAGTGAGTTGAAGATAACGGTGATGGAATAATTTGGAAAAGGATAGTGAGAATAGCAGCACAACTGGAAGAATGTAATCGATGTCACTGAATTGTACACGCAGAAACTTTTGAAATGGTGTATCTTTGGCTATGTATATTTTCACCAAAAGAAAGGTGCTCAAGGTCGAGAAGGGAGAGTGTTGACAGGTCGTGGGGTTGTACACCAATGTCATAAAACAATATGTGTACTGACTGTTTAATGAGAAACTATTTATTCTGTAAACCTTCATCTAAAGTACAATTAAAAAAAAAAAAAAGACAACCAAAAAAAGCCCCTGAAGTCTTCTTTAAACCAAATAATAGTTTAGCTTAATTAGTAAAGAATGTCTGTCTTGTAAAAAGGCCAGACTTAATGGTCTGGCTGACACTAGAGGAACCCCAGAAGACACGGCCCCTGGACTCTCTGATAACCCAGAACTAAAACAATTCCCAAAGCCAACTCTTCAAAGATTAGACTGGACCAAAAAACATAAAATAATACTTGTGAAGAGTGTGCTTCTTAGTTCAAGTAGATACACGAGACTAAATGGGCAGCTCCCGTCTGGAGGCAGGACGAGAAGGCAGAAAGGGATTGGAGCTGGTTGAACGGACATGGGAAACCCAGGGTAGAAAGGGGGGGTGTGTTGTCACATTATAGGGATTGCAACTAGGGTCACATAATAGTATGTGTATAAATTTTTGTATGAGAAATTAACTTGAGCTGTAAACTTTCACCTAAAGCACAATGAAAATAATTAAAGGAAAAAAAAGACGACCAGACATAGGCCTGACAGGGACTGGAGAAACCCCGAGAGTATGGCTCCCAGACACGCTTAGAGCTCAGTAATGAAGTCACTCCTGAGGTTCACCCTTGAGTCAAAGATTAGACAGGCCCATAAAACAAAATGAGACTAAATGGGCACACCAGCCCAGGGGCAAGGACAAGAAGGCAGGAGGGGACAGGAAAGCTGGTAATGGGGAAATCAAGGTTAAGAAGGAGAGTGCTGACGTGTTGTGGGGTTGGCAACCAATATCATAAAACAGTATGTGTATTACTTGTTTAACGAGAAACTCGTTTGCTCTGTAAACCTTCATCTAAAGTGCAATAAAAAAAAAAAGGTTTAAAACAGAATGTCTGCCTTGAGCATTGTGCTCTTTCAAAATCTATATGCCACCAAATCAACAACAGCGACTCAAAAGGTTCGACAGGAAGCTTAAGGGGCAGGGAGTTTATGTTAATCGGGGAGGAACAACTTGGAAAAGGGGGGTGAGAATGGTTGCACAACCCAAAGAATGTAATCAGTGTCACTGAATTGTACATGTAGAAACGGCTGAATGTTCTGCTGTGTATATTCTCCACAACAACACAGTAAATAAATAATATTAAAAAGAAAGAGAGAGAGAGACAAGCACCCACTGAAAGAGACCCATCAGCCTCCCGTGTGTAAGTGTGCTGTGTGTTGGGGCGTGAGGAAACTCAGGGCCTAGCACTTACGTGAGGGGCGTACAATCTGTCAACAGACATTTTTTTTGAACGCTGAGCACTTACTTCGTGCAAGCTGTTGTGTTAGACAGGAAGATACACGTATGAACATGACCCAACCCCTGCCTTCAGGAGCTTACTCTGCACACCTGGAGTCACCATGAGCTAGTAATGGACTTGACAGCAATCGACAACCACCACCACCACCTGGCATATAGTAACCCCTCAAATGTTGATGTTAGCTATTGGTGCTATTACTACTACTATTTTTTATAAAGCACAATGGAATAAAACACTGCCTGGTCCTGTGCCATCCCCATGATTGGTTGTGGATCAGACAGTTGTGATCCACCTCGTTTTCCCTGGCTAACTGTGGTGCAGTGAATTACTTAATATGGCCCTTTTAGCCATGCATGGTCTTGTAACTCCCACAGTGATTGGTGAGACTATGCAAATAAGGTGTTTGTAGCCCACCAAGGGGTTTTGACGGCCTGCTAAGAATGCAAAAAATAAGGTGCATGGAATCCTTAGCAGGGGTGGAGTAAGGGGGACGACCATGCAAATAAGGTGTGTAGAACCGTAACCAGGAAACTGGTCAGTTGTGCCACCCCACTGGGCTTAAAAGAGCCAATCCTAGAGCACAGGGGGGACCTCACTACCACCAAAAAAGAAGGGCCGGGAATACAGAACGTCCTTTGGGCCTGGGGTCCCTGTGCTGAGAAACTCCTAGACCCAAGAGGCAGAGAAAGAGAGCTCTAACACCAGAGAAGGTGTGAGATGGCGAGAAGCAGCAGCAGAGAACCAGTGGCAGCCAAACCGAGACACTGGCAGGAGATGGCACAGTGAGCTTCCCAGGGGAGCTTCCCAGCCCACGAAGTGAGAAAGCTGAACACCTTCAGGCGGGAGGCTTGCTGGTGGAGTGAGGTGCCTCCAGGCACTTGGAGGAGCTAGACTCGCCGTCCGACCCACTGAGCAAGACAGCTGAGCGCCTTCAGGCCACGGCTTACTGGCAGAGTGGGGTACCTCTGGCCACTTGTCAGTGGAACTAGGCTTGCTGACCCACAGAGCAAAAGAGCTGAGCGCCTTTGGGCTGAGGCTTACTGGAGGAGTGAGGTTCCTCTGGGCACTTACTGGTGGAGCTAAAGAGCTTTGTAACAGTTCCCCGAGCAGGGCAGAGGCCGGGCCAAGGGGCCAAGAGGACAAAGGCCAGAGAGAAGCCTGCCTACTGGCACGGCTGAGAAAAGGCATCCTGATCAAAGAACTGTATCCTGAGTTGTTCCTGATTCTGAATTGTAACCTGTTACTTCCCTAATAAACCCCATAACTGTGAGTTCTGTGTGGCCATTACAATGAATTATCGAACCCAGCAGAGAAGCAGAAAGTGCCGTGGCAGGAACACACATCTTCACTAGTGGCACTGAAAGGGGAAGGGGACGTGCCAGACAGAGCTGCTGAGAGTAACGTGTGTGGGTTCAGAGCATGGAGGGATAGTTTGGGCTCTTGACAGTCAGATTCCCAATATGGATATGAGTCCATTCCGACTCATGGCGACCTCATGTGTGCAGAGTAGAACTGCCCCATAAGGTTTCCAAGGCTGTGACCTTTCAGAAGGAGAACGCCAGGCCTGTCTTCCGAGACACCTCTGGGTGAGGTGAAACCACCAATCTTTCAGTTAATAGTCCAGTGCTTGTAACTATTATTATTAGCACACTGCCTGGCACATCATCAGCCCATCTACCACCACTATCATTGCTATTCCATAAGTTTAGGCCTCGTGCAAGCAAGGGAAACCTCCAAAGCATTTTCCAGGTCCCAGGACCGGCCTCTGAGTTCCCTGACTGGGGTCTCCTGCTGTCGTTGTCACCAATCATCCAAGACCTGAGGGCAAGCCACCATCCTGGGCTGCTGAGGTGAGTGCTCTCACCTGAGCTGCTGGGAAGCAATGTTCCTTGTCCAGCTGAGCCGCAATGGGAACCAGCTCCTTCTCCGCAAAGTCCCGGCATGTCTGACGCAACATCTGATGTGTCTCCGGCAGTGCCACAGACTGGTAGATTGTATGTAACTGCCGCCAGTCCCGAGCACGGAGAGCTGCCAGCAAGAAGAGCAGGAGTCAGTGGGAAGGAAGGCAAGAGGCCCTGCATGATAATAATAATAATAATAATAAACCTGTTGCTGTCGAGTCAATTCTGACTCAGCAACCCTATAGGGCAGAGGAGAACTGCCCCATGGGGTTTCCAAGGCTGTAAATCTTTACAAAAGCGGACTGCCACATCTTTCTCCCGCGGAACAGCTCGTGGGTTTGAACCACCACCCCTTCGGTTAACAGCTGAGCGCTTTACCACTGCACCACCAGGGCTCCTCAATAATAATAATAGTTACCCACTAATCCAATGGTTCTCAAATTAGGACGATTCTGACCCCCAAAGGACATTGGGCAATGTCTGGAGACAGTTCGCTTGTCACAGCTCCAGAGGGGAGGGTGCTACCGGCATCTAGTGGGTAGAGGCCAGGGATGCAGCTAAATATCCTACAACGCCCAGGACCACCCCCACGGCAAAACTGCTGTCGCTGTTAGTTGATTCTGACTCGATTATGTGTGCAGAGTAGAACTGCTCCACAGGGTTTTCAAGGGTGTGACCTTTCAGAAGCAGATCACCAGGCCTGTCTTCCGAGGTACCCATCCCAAATGTCAACAGTGCTGTTGTTACGAAGCCTTGCACTAAGTGAATGCTTACTAGGTCTGCTAAAACACTTTACATAGTCTATCTCATTCAATTCTCAGCAGAATATCAATAACAGCACAGACCTGTGACCTGAGGCAAGGGTCTTAACGTCACTGCACCCCAGATTCTATAAAATGTGGAGGCCGTTAGTATTAAGCTTCTGGGGGTGAGAGGCTTAGCCTAGTGGCTGGCAGGCACGAGTCTCAATGAGCTGCAGTTGTTAGCTGCGATTCAGTTGGCACTCATAGTGACCTTATGTATAACAGAAGGAAAGCCAGGTCCTGTGTCAATTGCACAATCTTTAATATGTTTGAGCCCGCTGTTAAGGCTACTGTGTCAACCCATCTCATTGAGGGCTCCCCCTTATTGTCATTATTATTCAGCGTGGTGGTTCTTGGCCAGCAAAAGGGAGCTTTGGCCACCTGTGTCACTGCTGCTACAGCTAGAGAGAAATGATAAGATGGGCAAGGAACTGTGACTAAGTAATTAGTGGTAACAGTAATAACACAGATTGAGCACCTGTTACATGCCAGACAATGTACTAAGTGAAGTATTCCACACACTGTTACTTAATCTTCACAACTCTCTTTAGTACTACCATCACTGTCACTGCGGCAATGAGGTGTCTTGCCCAAGGTCATGGACACAGAGTCTGGGTTCAACTGCAGGCCTGGCTCCCGGGGAAGGGCACACCTCGCACCTCTCTGGGAGTAAAGTCAGGAGTGGGGGCGGTGGATGAAGCTGCGAGGACTGGGCTGGGATGAAGATCGGGGCAGGGGGCTGGGGTCAGAGCGGGGCCAAGAGGATCAGAGAAGGGGCCGGGGGTGTTAGGGCAGGGGTCACTGCAGGGCCGGTTCTGAGCAGCCGAACTGAGGCAAAGGCCATGCGCGCTGCGGGAGGGGCCGCCGCCCGCCCGCGTCTCTGGGCAGGACCTGGCCCTCCAGAGTCACGCCCGCTTGCCCGGCCCCGGGCTACGGCCCCGCTGTGCGGAGCCCAAGCGCACTCACCTCCGCGGACGCGGCCATAGGCCCGGGCGAGCAGCGCAGCTGTCATGGCCGACGAGGACGACGCCTCTCTACTCCCGAAAAACGTCTCGCTGCTGGTGCTTCGGGTTCCGGACTACGAGAGGCTGCGCGGGCGGGGGCAGTCACGTGTGCGCGGCCGGGGCGGGGCCTTCCGGGCTCCTCCCCGGCCTCGTCTCCCGCCTCCTGCATTTGTGAAGTTTCCGAGATCCTTCAGGTTGCTCTCCACGCCCTCATCCATTAATACAAATATTGCACAGGACAAAGCCAAGGATAGAGCCAGCCTCTCTATGGATAAGTTCCCAGGCGGTGCTAATGCTGCTAGTTAGGGACCAATTCTGGGAACCGCTAGTACAGCAGTGGTTCTCAAAATTTATTACCCGTAAGAGTCACCTGGGGATCTTGTTAAAACGTGGGTTCTGATTCAGTTTATCTGGGGGTGGAAGTGCAAATTCTCAGCAGGGGTTCCAGCCCTAGTTTCTACACACACACACACACACACACACTCTCTCTCTCTCTCTCCATCCCATCATTCTGTTTTATTTTATTCATGGTACTTAGCATCTGCAATTATTTATTGTCTCTCACAGTAGACTGTACGGTCCAAGAAGGGCAAGGATCTTGTCCTGCTCTGTTGCTCAGTATTTGTTCTGTTGTTGTTAGGTGCCTTCGCGTCGGTTCCGACCCATAGCGACCTTATGTACAACAGAACGAAACACTGCCCGGTCCTGCACCATCCGCATGATTGTTGTTATGCTTGAGCCCATTGTTGCAGCCACTGTGTCAATCCATCTCGCTGAGGGTCTTCCTCTTTTTTGCTGACCTTGTACTTTACCAAGCATGATGTCATTCTCCAGGGACTGATCCCTCCTGATAACATGTCCAAAGTATGTGAAACAAAGCCTCGCCATTCTCACTTCTAAGGAGCATTCTGGCTGTACTTCTTACCAAACAGATTTGTTCATTCTTTTCGCAGTCCGCGGTATATTCAATATTCTTCACCAACACCGTAATTCAAAGGCGTCAATTCTTCGGTCTTTCTTATTAACTGTCCAGCTTTCCCATACATATGAGGTAATTGAAAACACCATGGCTTGGGTCAGGCGCATCCTAGTCTTTAAAGTGAAATCTTTGCTTTTTAACACTTTAAAGAGGTCTTTCGCAGCAGATTTGCCCAGTGCAATGCATCATTTGATTGCTTCACTGCTGCTTCCATGGCTGTTGATTGTGGATCCAGGTGAAATGAAATCCTTGACAACTTCAACATTTTCTCCATTTATCATGATGTTGCTTATTGGTCCAGTTGTGAGGATTTTTGTTTTCTTTATGCTGAGGTGTAATCCATACTGAAGGCCCTAGTCTTTGATCTTCATCAGTTTAAGTGCTTCAAGTCCTCTTCACTTTCGGCAAGGTTGTGTCATCTGCATATGGCAGGTTGTTGATGAGCCTTCTTCCAATCCTAATGCCACATTCTTCTTTATATAGTCCAGCTTCTCGGATTATTTGCTCAGCATACAGATAGAATATGTAAGGTGAAAGCATACGGCCCTGACACACACCTTTCCTGACTTTAAACTATGCAGTATCCCCTTGTTCTGTCGAAACGACTGCCTCTTGATCTATGTATAGGTTCCTCATGAGCACAATTAAGTATTCTGGAGTTCCCATTCTTCACAATGTTACCCATAATTTGTTATGATCCACACAGTCGAATGTCTTTGCATAGTCAATAAGACACAGGTAAACATCTTTCTGGTATTCTCTGCTTTCAACCAGGATCCATCTGACATCAGCAATGATATCCCTTGTTCCACATCTTCTTCTGAATTCGACTTGAATTTCTGGCAGTTCCCTGTCAATGTACTGCTGCAACCGCTTTTGAATGATCTTCAGCAAAATTTCACTTGCGTGTGATATTAATGATACTGTTCAATAATTTTTGCGTTCTGTTGGATCACCTTTCTTTGGAATAGGCATAAATATAGATTTCTAGTCAGTTGGCCAGGTAGCTGTCCTCCAAATTTCTTGGCAGAGACAAGTGAGACTTCCAGCACTGCATCCGTTTGTTGAAACGTCTCAGTTGGTATTCCGTCAATTCTTGGAGCCTTGTTTTTTGCCAGTGCTTTCAGTGTAGCTTGGGCTTCTTCCTTCAGTACCATCAGTTCCTGATCATATGCAACCTCCTGAAATGGTTGAATGTCAACCAATTATTTTTGGTACAGTGACTCTGTGTATTCCTTCCATTTCTTTTGAGGCTTCCTGCGTCATTCAGTATTTTGCCATAGAATCCTTCACTACTGGAACTCGAGGCTTGAATTTTTTCTTCACTTCTTTCAGCTTGAGAAATGCCGAGCGTGTTCTTCCGTTTTGGTTTTCTAATTCCAGGTCTTTGCATATGTTATTATATTTTACTTTGTCTTCTTGAGCTGCCGTTTGGAATCATCTGTTCAGCTCTTTTACACCATCGTTTCTTCGATTTGCTTTAGCTACTCAATGTTCAAGAGCCCAAGAAACGAACAGGAGGGAGGTTTCTTTCCCCCAGGGACTGTGAAGGCTGTGGGGTGGGGCTGCTACTTCCCTGTTCCACTCTAGTCCTGTTTCACTCCTAATTGTGGGAATTCTGGGGCACAGCCCAGTTGGAACCAGAGGGCACTGCCCTCAAATGCCATGCATTTGGTCCCTAGCATCCTGGTCAGGACAGCTGTGGTAAAATGATTTACTTAGTATGGCCCTTCTAATCATAGTCTTTGTGACTCAAATACAATGATTGAGTGGGACTACACAAATAAGATGTGTGGAACCCTAACGAAAGGATTGGTAGGTTTTGCCATCCTGCTAGGCTTAAAATGAGCCATCCCAGAGGCGGGAGGGGAGGATCTCACCACCACCAAGGAAGAAGAGCCAGGAGCGAAGCATGTCCTTCAGACCTAGGATCCCTGCACTGAGAAGCTCCCGGAACAAGGAGACCGAGAGAGAGAGCTGTAACAATGAAGATGGTGAGAAGCAATGGCAGAGAAATGGTGGCAGCAGAGACAGGAGACCGCCCATGGAGGGAGAACGCCTTCGGGCAAGAGGCTTGCTGGCAGAGTAGGGTGCCTCCAGGCACTTGGCAGAGCTAGGCTTGCTGACTCCTGGAGCTAGAGCTGAGTGCCATCCTGCTGAGGCTTACAAGATGAATTGGGTGCCTCTGGACACTTATTGGCAGAGCTAAAAGTTTTTTAACACTTGCCAGAACAGGGCAGAGGCGAGGGCCAGAGAGACACATGCTTGCGGGCACGGCTGAGAAGAGGCTGTCCTGATGCAAGAACTGTATACTGAGCATTCTGGAACCTGAATTGTAACCTGTCACTTCCCTAATAATCCTGAGTATTGTCTGTGAGTTCTGTGTGACCATTGCAATGAATTCTTGAACGCAGCAGAGAAGTAGAAAGTGCCATGGGACAGCTGGTGTCAGAACTGGTAAAGACGACGGTGAGAGAAGGTATGACAGATCTCTGCCTCACAGGAATCAGCCTCAGGCTGTCGATCTTGATTCTCCTTCCACCTTGTGAAGTTAGAGGACATCAGATGCCTCCTCCACGCCATTTTTACAACTGCCATTATCCCGCCTACCTAATAAACCTTGGCAAGTTTGCTGCCTGAGAAGGATAGGCCCTCAGCATAGGGTGAGTCTGATTCCCAGTCTCCTGGGCTCCACAACTCCCTCCAGCCACCTCTCTCCCCCCTAACTCAGACAAGTATCTGTTGCCAGCACTGACCCACGTGGCAGAAATTCTGTCTTCCTGTAAGACCTTGTTCTGCTTCCTAGAGAACAATCAAAAGATGCAGCAAAGCCCCTCAGAGGTCATCTTACCCAGGGATGCATGTGAAAGCAAGCCTCTAAAGCCACATTTCAGGTCAAACAAATGACTCTCACTGGCAATGCTCTCAGATCTTCCTCACCTTTCAATTGCTCCACCTGGGCATCAGCCCTGGGTGGAAGAGGAAAAGAGAGGGAAAGAAAAGTAGGTCATGTTTGTGGGCAGAGGCCAAAATTTATTGCTTCAGGTGGGGCCACAGACCACCTAAGCCAGACTCTTTATTTTAAAATTGTATTGTTTGTGACCTTAAACAAGGATGTAAATTTTATATTAAAAGTATCTAAGTCTTCTAATAGGGACAAAAATCCGATAGTGGGTGCAAGGGGCTGGGGGTGGGGTGGGGGAAGGGGCTGGCTGCAAACCCAAGGAACACAGGTAACTTTGAAGAGATGGAAATGTCCAATCTTATGACTGTGATGGGGTAACAAGACTGTATACTTGTGGCAAAACTCATCAAATGGTCCTCTTACAAGAACGTATGTGTAAATTTTTAATTCTCAAAGCCTTGTAGCAAAATGTAAAGAAAAATATTAAACCTAAAACACAACACTCTTTCCCAGTCAGCCAGGAAAGCATTTGTACTCACTGAACTACTTACAGAAAGGCCACGTAATAGCCAAGGCAGGAGAAGCTCAGTGCCCACTCCAGCCCGGACCTGCCCCCGCTCCCCCCGCCAGCAACACAAGGGAAAGAGCCAGAAAAGGAGAGGCCGCACACTGAGAAAACCTTTCCTTTATTCTGGTCTCTTATGGCAAAATAACATTTTATACAAATAAGGTGCCTAGTTTTACTCTGGACACACAGACAATACAAAGTGGAATGAGGATCTTGGGTGAAGCAGGAAAGAGGAAGGACAGACCAGGTCATTGATGTTTCTTATATTCTGTGAAAAATAGATTTACAAGGGAAAAAAAATAGACTTTCACAATGTCAATGACTTTACATGATCCTTTGTGAAACAAGGAGTGAGTCCTCCTCACCAGATCCCGCTTGTGGCTGAGATGTTCTGTAACGTGGAATGTGAGCGACATGTTGGGGACAGGTCAGCCGCAACAACGAGGCTCGCCCACCAGGTACACAGCACCCTCCACACCAAGGAGGCCTCACGCACTGGCAAGGAGTCCGGGCTGTGAGTTTTCAGACTCTTCCCATCGCAAACCCCACTGACGTCATGGTGACAGTGAACACCAGGGGTGGCAGGACACACTAAGGCAGGAGTCCCGATTTGTACGTCAGATACAGCCTATGGCATCCACTCCATAAACGAGTTCCACCTCAACTGAAAACACAGTTAACGACTCCCTAATCCCTGCAAGTTTCAAGAATCACCAGTCCATGGCTAGACCTAAACCTCCCCAAATCACGGCCCACGTTTGGGAATCAGATGGCCCAAGACTGTAAATGCCGTCAAGAAGCGCATGGCCCTGAAAACTGCTTTCTCGGCTCTGAGACGGCTTTGAGCTAACACATCTGGAGAGGCCATCTCACATGAGCAGAGAACTACTTCTAGTCGTTCTTTCCCGTTTACCCTTTAAAACACAGAACGGAACAAATCAGGGTCTTCTTTGGAGAAGCAAGAAGGGCATCTTAGCCCAAAGGCTCGATATGAAAAGAGAGGCTCTCTCCCGGAAGATGTGAAGATGAGGGACAGGAGCGAGACAGGAGCGGAAGGGGCAGGCAGCAGGGCCCGCTGCCCCAGGGGGGCCCGCCAGTGTACCAGAATGTGCTCTCTCCAGGAGCTCCTCTCGGGTGCCAGCTCTAACAGACGGCATGGGTCTCCCCATGTGGAGAGGTCTTCCCTTCCATTACATCACAAGATAACTGCTATCAACCTTCCAGATTCCTTGATAGCATGGCCCCCTGATTCAACTTCAGATTGGTTCAGGTACTTTTTGAGAAAGTAGGATTTCCAATTCTCTCCCCAATTCAGGTACAAAAACATGCACTTCAAACTCCCCGTGGGAGCGCCCCAGAGTGGTGATCCTTCTCTAGATTTCCTGAGCAGTCAGACGTGGGATCATGAGTCCCGGACACAGACACCAGACCTACAGCAGCAAAAGATGGCAAGTCCCCGTCGTACTGGGCACAGACTGAGCACGGGCCTCAAAACGTTCTCCAGTGAGACTGCGGGAGGCTAACGGGAAAAAGGATCCAGCACCAGTCAAGCCGGCTCGAGTGCTGCCCTCCAGCCTTCCATCCCTTTTCCTGGCAAATGCTAACACTGCAGATAAATGATGGCCTGCTAGGGTTCGAGAGACAGTCTGCCCTGGGGCACATTTCCAAGACACACTCTGGGCAGTGCAGAAACCACATGCCGGTTAAATATTTTAATATTAAATAGTAGAACCTCACCAGATTGGGCTTCTGTAGCGGACAGAAGGGACTTTGGAACATACAAATCCCAGGAGAGGCTCCACGATGAGAAACACAAGGGAAGGAGGCAGTGCTGCTGTCTGTCCACAGACGAGGAGGAGGGAAGGACGGCAACACCACTTCCCCAGCAGCACACGGGCACAGCCACACGTAAGGCACCCAGATGTGAAGTCAACCCCAGTTCTGAGATTTGCCTGGTCTGGTGGGAAGCAACCTTTCTGCAGGGTACACAGTCTCTTCCCTCTGTGGTTGGATCCAGTGCCCGGACACAAGGGTAATGGGGCGCTTTCTCCATGAGAAAGCTGCCAGCATAGGCACAGCCCAGACTCTGGGGCTGGCACAGAGCACCGGGCCGAGGTTCAAGAGCACTGAGCCCCAGAATCCTACCAGGGAACAACACTGGTTGGTGAACGCACGGGAGCTTTGAAGGCAGGCCTGGCCCTGCTTTCCCGAGCCACACATGGCCTTCCTCCCAAGGCTCTTGGGACACGGCTTGCTGTCACAGTCACTGTGATGCCACACGGTGATGGCTACCACACACCCAGGCCCTTCCAGGAGTTTTGGCTGAGCACCGAAAGCCACCCACACAGTCAGACAACCATAGGGAGCTGAGGGGGTGAGAGTCTAAGCAATAAGCATCTGAGGACAAACACAGCTCACAGGATACACAAGGACGCCTTCTCGAGAACACACCTCTCGCATAGGCCACGTCAGCATATTTCACCCTTCCCAAATGCCCTAGACAATTCCAACCAGCAGTATGAAGGATCAGAATTTGCATTACTTAGGTTTGACCTTCCAAGATGGTTCCAGAAACTACTTCGGTACCAAGGCAAGATAGGAAAACCTTCCTAAATAAGAAATGTACAGCGTTTCAGAGGCAAATCCCCATCAAAGGCCAATCCTCCAGGCTATGCTGTGTAGAGAAAAGCAAGTATCTCCTTTGGAGCAGCTGCTGGTCAGTAACTACACGGCCCGTCATGAGCCAGATGAGCCCCGGGAGCCTGATTAATACTATTAGAAGTCTAACAGCACCTCGCCGGTGCTGGGAACACCACGGACGTTTTATAAAACCTCCACAGAGAAGTCTGGAATTTAAAAAAAAAAAGAAAAAAAAAAAAAAACAAGGCCTGCTCTGGCCTTGGAAGATACTACTGTTCCATGAACAAAACGGACACATTCGGTTTGAGGAGCGACTCCAAAGTCAGGAGCCGGGTGAAGCAGAGCGAACTCACGTTTCCTCCCGAATGAGAAGAGGAAGGCACTGCCAGGCTGAAACCTCGGTCTACCCCAGAGACACCAGCTGCGGACCCTGGAAGTGGACCATGGAAGTCACACAGGTGAGCAGGGCACCCCCAAAAATGCATCTTTCAGTTTGGCGGCACTGCCCATCCCCGGAATCAAACCTCCACCTCTTGGCAGCAGCCCCTCTTCCAGCTTGTTCCAGTTGGTGAGGACTAGGCACAGGCTGAGGACAGGCTGTGCGGATGGTGGCTCCAGAAGCAAGAGGAGGAGTTGCCTGGAAAGAGCCTCCCACTGCACCTAGCAGCTGAGAGAAGGGCTGCTAACCTGCAAGCGGCCCGGCTGGGGCCGTCTCACCTGAGCACAGCTATGCCCAGAGAGATGGAAGCTCATCAGTGCAACCAGCAGCCAGCTATAACTATGGGAAAATACGCTTTCCTTGTTATCTGGATTCCAGGAGCCTTATCCTAATCTTTAACTTTACTACAGTACCTCTGAGACCTAAGGGGCAGGGGGAAAGGAGGGAGAAAAAATGCTGGGGAAGAAAACACAGCACTGCGTGGCACTTCCCTTGGAGCACAGGAACCTGCCCCCTGCCCCAGCCTTGACTTCCTGGGGCCAGGTTCCACACGTGTGTTGAAAACAGCAGCTTCAAGCACCTCTGTGTGCCAGGACCTCATGGCTGCAGCAAAGCGCCTCCCCTGTGCACTCCTGCAGCAGTTACTGGCCTCCATTATAAGCATAATCAGCCTTGTTGTGCATTATCAGCTTGTTGTCAACGAAGTAGAAGCTGTCAGAGCGGGTCTCATAAGGATGTTCAATCATCAGACGAACTACAAGTCAGAGAAAGGAAAAAACAAAGTTATGTGTGAGTCCATCCCACGGGCTCAGTGGGAAAAAACTTAGTATCCCCTCCAAAAGTTACTGGCTGGCCCTTCTAGAAAACGCGAGTATACTCTGCCAGGATAACATCAGCACAGAGGGAGACAGCCCTCAAGAGCCGGTAAGAACTGGTGAGCAGAGGCCCCTAAACTGAACATGAGCTGAACTTCAATGTAAGGATGCAATCCACTGTCTGGCATGATTCTCTTGGGTTCTCACAGTCAGCACCCAGGGAAACGGGCTCACCCTGCTGCCAGCAGGGCCCACAGTGGCTTACTGACCCGTGCTCTCAGCTGAGCAGGCCAGCCCTGGCCTTGGGTCTGTTTCCTTTCTTTCTAGACATTTCAGGGCAAACTCACACAGCTGGGCCTCACTGTGTCCACTCCCCACGGCACCCCTGACAGAAATCCCTGCTGACAACTCCTAAGGGACAAAGGACAAGGAGCCTGCTCCAGAGATGGCCAGGGATGAACTCCCAAGCGATCCAGCAATAGATTGCTTGTTTTGGGGTCTAAATGGAAGTCTTCTGTTTGTTCAGGCCATCTCCCAGAACTCTATGACCATACCAGAAAGCAGAATAATTAACAGGCACTACCTATGCTCAGTTCTGAGTTAATGATTATATGTTATGCTGAGTTCTCTGGAGAAAAATGCTATTTTGTTCATACAGTGAATCTAATTATTGAAAGATTTTTTAACCCGCCCAGGCCAAAGCTGTTTTGTTTATATCCAGAATATTGATCTCTCAACTCTTTCAGCTTATTTGGCATCAAGAAGGAAATTATATTCCTTTAGGTTAAAACTTGTAATCTATACAAATTTTTTTTTTCTTGCAAGTACCTAAATATTCCAGCCCAGCTTGGGGAGATGGGTTTAACTAGGATCAGATGCCTCATAAACACCCTGCCCAGCATCTCAGCAAGCCACACTTCACCTACGAGCAGCACTGCCAAAAGAGCAAAGACTGGCTGGTTTCCAGAATATGATCATCTTTAAGGACGTGGGCGGGATTCTGAGAAAACTAGCCAGGGTATGTAGATCCTTCCCCACAACCCAACTAAACTCCATCACTATTCCCAGGATACCACTCACATCCTCATAAATGTTCTACAGGAAACTTCCCTAATTACTACAGATGTTACCCTGAGGTAGCTGCACCAAGGTCACAGAAACTGACGCCAATAAAGCCTGCTCTTTCTCTCGAGTTCAGTCCATCTCTTCCCTCACCTGTGCTGTGTAGCAGCCTTCTCCCTGGAGTGTCTCCCCCAGGTCTACCTGCACACGACTACAGGATCACTCTTCCTGAGACACTGCTTCCATCACGTCACTCCTGCTCCACAACTGACAACAGCTCCCCATTTCCTACTGGATCTACTGTAACAGTTCACCTAACCAACCCTCTACTGCAGAGAACGAGAAAGGGCAGGTCCTCAGCCCTCTGATTCTATTTAGCCTGCAGATTCACATCCAGCTCAGATTCAGGAAAAATGTGAAGGACTAATGAAGAGTGCTGGGCAGGAGCCAGTGACTAGAACACAGTGGAAAACCACGATGAGCAGGGGAGAGGAGAGGGCTGTATCTAATTGGAGTCCAAGGGATTGTCTTATCTCCCACCCTTTCCCACAGCAGTCACTGAAAAAGGACGGCCTGTGTTATGAAATCTTCCATGCTCCCATCTGGGCAGAGTCAGAGTTTGAAGGAGAAGATAGGAGCAATGGGAAACAAAAAGCCTGAGGCCAAACGACTAGGTGTATGTCATGTTGCTATTTCCCTCATCTGCAAAATGAGGGCATCGCGAGAGACAGAAAGTGCCACATAAACCAGAGACTGCATTATCCTGAGACCAGAAGAACTAGATGGCCGCCCTGACAGAGAACACAACAGAAAGTCCCTGATGGAGCAGAAGAAAGGTGGGGTGCAGAACTCAAATTCTAGTAAAAAGACCAGACTTAATGGTCTGACTGAGACTGGAGGAACCCAGAAAGCATGGCCCCTGGACTCTCTGTCAACCCTGAACTGAAACCATTCCTATAAGGGCAACTCTTCAGACAAAGATTAGACTGGACTATGGGACACAAAATGATACTTGTGAAGAGTGTGCTTCTTAGCTCAAGAAGATACATGAGATTAAATGAGATGAGAAGGCAGAGAGGGTCAGGAGCTGGTTGAATGGACGCGGGAAATCAGGGGTGGAAAGGAGTGTGCTGTCACAGTACAGGCAGAGCAATTAGGGTCACATAACAATGTATATATAAATTTTTGTATGAGAGACTAACTTGAATTGTAAACTTTCACTTAAAGTACAGTAATAAAATAGAAATTAAAAAAAGAAATTAAAAAAAAAAAAAATGAGGACATTGGACCAGATGGAGATGCCAAGTCTCATTCCTTCTAGCCCTAAGAATCTAGGGTGCGGTATAGGAGTCGGGGGATACATACTGACATCCTCAGAAAGCTGGGGAAACTCATAGATATGTTCACAAGTGTTCCTACTGCTGGGGATGCAGAAGCCGAAATCAAAGTCAAAGTTTTTCAGCAAGCGTTCCCGGAAATAGTGCCGTTCGATCATCCGGAAGTTTGACACAGGTTTATCTCCCACTGTGAACTCCACCCTGCAAAACAAATCTCTGTGAGCCTACTTTACTGAGCTCCCTCCTCGAAAGCCAACCCAAAACCCAAGTGAGAGCATTCTTCTCTGTGAACAAGAACGTCCTCCCTCAGGAAATACCAGTACTCACGTAGCCCCAACTGTCCGGAGGCGGAGAAATGCTGGTGTGAATTGATAGCGGACGAAACGCCCGGCACTGATATCCACGTCTCCACCCTCCTCCTCCTCCTCCTCGTGGTCTGAAAGAGCACATGGAACCTTGAGTGCACCTTCCTGGAGCCACCAGCCCAAGCAGCACAACAACCAATGAACAGTAAGCTGGCCGATATTTACTGCCCACTTGCTATATGCCAGGCCTGTGCTAAACGCTTCACAGAATCTTCACGTGAGGTGCCATTATTACCCCCACTTTACAGTTAGGGAAGCTGAAGTTCAGAGAGAGGTTAAGTAACATGTCCAAAGTCACTCAAATAGTAAATAGAAGGAGTTGGGATTAACCCCAGGTCCACCTGACTCGAGGCCTGTTCTGAAACACTAAGCTATTTGCTTTTATATAATTTGGGGGCTTGGGCCTTGCCCTAAGGGTGAAGCCTGGAGCACAAGCTGGGTTTCACCTTGACATGGTCTATACTATATAGATGAGGTCTGCTGTTCACCAAGTGGAAGTGCTAACCAGTAACCAAAAGAATAAGAGTATAAAAGTTCAAGATAGTTAAAAGGCTCCTTCCGTCAAAGAATGAAAAAATTTTTGACAGGCAGTGAAGACAAAGCACTGGAAGCAAATTTGTTATTTAAATGAAAGACATTGGCCTCCAGCCTTGGGGTACTGTACCTCCCTGAAGTGATGGCTACTTCAGGCCATACCAGGCCTGAAGCTCTGACTACCTAGGAAAGGGTGAAGCGGGTGCAAAAGGGAGCAATGTGTGGCAGCTGTGTGAGGCTCCACAAGCTGAGAGTGCCCTCTGGTCTAGTCCATCCCTAAGCCCAAGAGATGAAAGATTTGTAAGATGGATTAGAGAACTATACTAAGGTGAGCAAGGAATGAGTTCCCACTAATAACCATCCAGTGGCCAACAAGGATATATTCTCCAGGTCTAAGCTGAACATGCAGCCCTGGTGGCACAGTGGTTAAGAGCTCGGCTGCTAACCGAAAGGTCAGCAGTTCGAATCCACCAGCTGCTCCTTGGAAACCCTATGGCACAGTTCTACTGTGTCCTACAGGGTCACTATGAGTCAGAATTGACTCAACGGCAATGGGTTTTTTTTTCTTTTTAAGCTGAACATGCTGCTGTTGTTGTGTGCTACTGAGTCGATTCCAACTCAAAGCAACCCTATAGGACAGGGGAGAACTGCCCCACAGGGTTACCTAGGCTGTAATCTTTACGGGAGCAGATTGCCAGGTCTTTTCTCTTGCAGAGTGGCCGCGGGGTTCATACCACTGATCTTTCGGTTAGCAGCCAAGTGCTTAACCACTGCACCACCAGGGTGAACATGGTACCATATAAAAAGCCCTTTCAGCATCCAAACACCTCTGCCCCTATGACAAGCCCAAGAGCAAGTGGACAACCAGACTGAGTAGGGGTTTATACCCAGGGACTCCAGAGCCCTGGCCCCTTTGTGATTTAAAGGGCATCAGATCAAATCTGCTCAGGGATTCAGACTCATCAGAACAAGTGCTAGAGGAGGGTACTGGTTCAGTGTGAGGCTATTCTGAGTGAATCAAGATCCCTAAGGATAAAGACTTTACAGTGTCTACAGCTGATCCTCGTGAGATGGTTTAGTTTTGTACTGAAATGACTGTTTTGAGCCCTGTCTAATCCAATTCCGTACACCTGTGGTACCCCTGGGGTCCTCAAAACATCCTAAGTACAAGCAATCCCCAGGTTACGAATGAGATCCGTTCTTGAGGGTGTCTTTACGTGGAATTTGTAGCTAAGTCAGAACAGATGCACACGATTCTTATTTAGCCTTACTATAGTGCCCGGGTGGCCAGTGGTTAAGAGCCTGGCTGCTAACCAAAAGGTCAGCAGTTCAAATTCACCAGCCGCTCCTTGGAAACCCTATGAGGCAGTTCTACTCTGTCCTATAGGGTCGCTATGAGTCAGAATCGACTCAAGAGCAACGGGTTTGGTTTTGGTTTTTTAGTGCAAGGAAAAGCTTGAAGACTTTTTAATGATTTAAAAGCTGCATGTGCAGCAAGTGAAGGTGAATGTGATGAAGAATTTGTTGCAAGTAGGGGTTGGTTCAATCATTTCAAAGTGAGAGCAAATTTACATAACATTAAAGGGCAAGTACAAATTGTCCATAAGTCGAACATTCATAACCTGGGGATTTACTGTACTAGGACATGTGACTTAGGGGTGTGAATACCACAACCCAGGAGGCTAGCTGGCCCTGGCCCTCCCATACAAGGTAAGTAAGTACCCACAAGCTTGAGCCTTTAGCCACCTTGGTCAGTACTAGATCACAACAGCATAAACAATACTGGGTGGGTGAGGAGACTAGGGCTCTAGCCTGGGCTCTGTTATTAATCTGAGCTGAACCTGTAGGAAAGTCTTTCAACTTATCCGGGAGAGTAATACTTGCCTTATCAAATTTGCAGGCTCTTTCTAAGCAGCAAATCAGATGAGAATAGCTTTGTAAAAAAAGATATTACACACCACGGTTGATACTATGAAGGTTATCTGTGCTAGTGTGCTAATAACTGATTAACTCCAGGGGGCGCTAAATCTATGACTCAGAATTAACTCCACAGCAACAGGTATTTTTTTTTTTTTAAAGAGAGAAATGAATCACCCTGGAACAGCATCCAAGCACAGGAAGCATGTACTCAAGGCTAATTTAAGCAGATGAGTTCATAGATCTGGGCTCTTTGCTCCTCCAGAAAATGGTGGGGATTAAAATTCAAACTAGGATGTAGTGGGAAATCTGAGGAACTATTTAAAGGAAAAAGAATAAGAAGCGTGGGGTGAAACTGCCTCATGGTCTGCACTGGAAATCTCAGTGTCACCCTTCCACAATGTCCCCAGGACTCAAGGCTCCAGTAAGCGTTCCTCATTATCGTTTATTTTCAAGGATTCCTTTCCTAAACGAAGGCAATATGATTAGATGAAAGAGCAGAGGACCACAGAAAAGTCCCTTGGAAATTCTGAGCCTCAATCTCCATATCTGTAAAATGGAAATGATAACAATTCCTGAGAGAGGAATGCATGAGCTGATGATGTGCATATACAGTTGTGTAACAAAGTGACCAACAGAGAGTAGATACTCAACAAACACTGGCCTCCCAACACGGTTTCAGACCAGCACACCTGACAGGCCATTAGTCTTCCCAATGGGAAAAGGAGATGTACTTGAACATTGAGGTCATAGGGGAGGTCATGGAAGCGGAACACACCAGAATCCATGACACAGTATGCAATGGCACACAAACCTTAGAGCCTTGAAGACCTTTTACTCCAACTGTCAAGTGAGTGCTACAATATTGAGGCCTACCTGAAACGCAGGGTTTGGCAATCTCAAAAAGCACTGTCCCTGTCTCCAAATCTCGAATTTTGAAGCGGGTGAAGTCAATACTGTAGACGTTGTCTTCAGGTTTACACAAATAATCTGAAAATGAGACAGAGATCAGTGTTGTTAAAAACTTCTCCAAATCATTTACTTCTTAATTTATCTGAAATGCCACCATGTTGTCCCAAGCAAAAGTTGTGTGAAGAGACTTAAGGGATCCAAGAAAGAAAAAAAGCATGGCCTGGGCGTGATTGAAAAGATTGTCCTATTTTATATTTTAGAAACACGGATAGGAAAAGGAGATTTTCTTTGGAAACACCTCAAAATGGCCTATAAACCTTTCACGATCTATAAACTTGTCACAACAGACTTCTTCCTTTTAATCTATTTTAAAACATTTGTACTGACCTAATGGATTATATAGGGAGCCCTGGTGGTGCAGTGGTTAAGTGTTCTGCTGCTAACTGAAAGATCAGTGGCTTGAACCCACCAGCTGCTCCGTGGGAGAAAAATGTGGCAATCTGCTTCCATAAAGATTACAGTCTTGGAAACCCTATGAGGGCAGTTCTACTCTGTCCTATAGGGTCACTATGAGTCGGAACTCAATAGACGGAAACTTTTTTTTTTTCTCCTAAATGGATAATATAAAAGGACCACGGTTAAGTGCTCAGCTGTTAACCAAAAGGTTGATGTTCAAACTCATCCAGGAGTTCTGTAGGAGAAATACCTGGAGGTCTCCTCCTATAAAGATTACAGCCTAGAAAACTCTATGCGGCAGTTCTACTCTGTCACATGGGGTCACTATGAGTTGAAAATAGACTTGATGGCACCAAACAACAACAATGGATAATATAGTGCTTGTTTGTCAACCATGAACGCTATAAAGCAGGAATCAGCAAACTTTTTCTGTAAAGGGCCAGATTATAAACATTTTAGGCTTTGTAAGCTATACACAGCCTCTGTCAAAGCTACTCAACTCTGCCCTAGTAGCGCAAAGGCAGCCACAGGCAATCGTAAATGAAAGAGTGTGGCTGTGACCCAATATAATTTTATTTTATAGACTCTGCAACTTGAATTTCATATACTAATGATGTCCCACAAAATATTATTTTTTAACCATTAAAAATGTAAAAACCATTCTTAGCTTACAACCTGTACAAAATCTGGCACTGGACCATACATACACAGGTGACACCAGCTGGATTCGCTGGTGAAGGCATTAGGTCAAAGTGAGGTAGAGCCTACAACAACCTGAGCAGCTAATCAAAATAGTACCGATCCTAGAAAATTTCAGGAAGTTACAGGCTAAAATCTTATCCCTTCATTGATTTCTTTCTACAGTGACTCCTGACAGCATCTTCTCTCCACAACTCATTTTGGCACTTTATTTTATATTGCCTGCTTGCATTAGGTGCTTCATATTTTACAGGCTGTCTCTCCAGGAAGATGGCAAACTTGAAAGCTACTGATCATTCTGTAACCCTCCAAGAAACGCTGAGATTATTTCTGCTCCTTTAGAGGGTACCCAATAAACAACTTGTTGAATGGAACAGACATGAAGAAAAGGAACAAATTCGAGAGGTCACCAAGCTCCGACCTCTGACAGGCAGTGTGGTGCTTTTGCCAATAAGCTGCAGAGACTGGTTTCGGCAATAGCACCAATCCCAAGGCCCAGTGCAGGACCTGAGTGCCCACCTAGAATGCTGCTTAGGACCAGACTTAAGAATGGTTTTAACTCACCCTTGGTATCAGGAAAAAGCATGAGGTTAGAGAAGTCAGGTGCTGAGCATTTCCGTACTTTCAGAGCCCCAGATGAAAACTGGGTCAGAACAGAAGCGGCTTTTTCACACTGTTTCAATGAAACTGAAGAGCAAGACCCTTTAAAGATATACCCAGGCATCCAAAGGACAATCCCAACCCAAACAGAGCTGGAAAATGGGGACAGAAAAATACACGTAATCAAATTAAAACCATTTTAGAAGATAAGACCTCCCTTCCAAGCAGGCTGGACCAAGGCCCACTTTCCCCAGACCCCCATCGCCAAGTCACTGGAGCTGCCGCCAGCTTCCTGAGGTACACCTGAGCAGCCCTGGCCTGACTACTTAATGCAATTCAGCAGATGACACTATGGCAGCCTTGGATCCATCAAATGAGTGCGGGTGTTGCAGGGTTACAAGTGAGCACCTTGTGGTGGGGAGGTCGGAGGTGGGCAGGGCAAGCCGGGCCTAACCAAGTAACTGCAAATTCCTGGAGAAAAATAGCAAAAGAAAGGGTGCCAAGTCAGGGCTTAGCTTGGAAGAGAACAGAAGAGGAAGGAGATCCAGGACAGGGGGAGGGCAATGTATCTCTTTCCACCTTTACCTAAAGCAATGAAAAGTGGCAGGATGGCTGCACTTAATGCAAGAACTGCAAACCTGAAACCCTGACATAATTTCTCAATTCACTAGAACAAATGTAAAAAGCAGGATTCACATTTACAGACTGTGAATACGAACTGAAACTTTATTTTTTAATGTGGTACTGTTTTAAATGTGCATAAAACGTCGGGGCAAAGTGTTTCAAGAAAAAGCCCACCTGCACAAAGCGGCAACGCTGGGGACAAAAAGGGGGCGGGGGTCCAGGCAGGCTGGCAGGGGGAGAGGCTGTCAGGGCCGGAGTGGAGGGTAGCGGAGAAGGAGAAAGCAGGTAGGGGTTCCGGCCTGGCAGAGGGCTGCGGAAGCTGGGGAGGTAACCGGTTAAGCGGGGCCTCGCTGAGCGGGAACCTTCCTGATGGTTAGGGGGGTTCCAGCCTGCGGGGGAAAGGGATCCACTTATTAGGGGACCGCGACCCTCGGCCGGCTGAAGGGGACCCCCTCCCCAAGCAGGTCCAGCGGGGGTGGGGAGACAGCCAGCCAAGGGGAAGCTATCCTGGCCGGACTCAGCGAATGCGGTTAAGTTTAAGGTGAGCCCCTTCCCAACTAGGTATGGATGATGGAGAGCGGGGAGGACGCAACCCGCCCGCGGAGCGGTATGAAGCGCGGCCTGGCTAGCGAGGGGCCTGGGTGGACCCCGGACTAGCTGAGCCGGGAGCGGCCAGGCCTGCTGACCGCTACCAGGGGCCCGTGACCTGGCTCGAGGGGAGGGCGCGGCAGGCACTGCACTCACTCTCGGTGACCCGGCTGAGGCGCAGGACGTGCTCGGGCCGGATGGCGTCCAGAGCCAGGAGCTCTTGCTCGGTGACCGCTGCCCCGCTGCCGTCGTCGGCCGCGTGATGGGGTGCTTGCCGCCGCGCCTTAAGCCGGTTCAGAACGCCGCCGCCCGCCTTCTTCTTCTCCTCCTTGCCAGTCACCAGCCCCCCGGGCCCAGGCGCCGACCCCGCGGCCACAGCCTTCGGGTTCGACCCGTTCATGGCTCCACCGCCAAGATGGCCGCCGACTGCACCGCGCCGTAACTATGGAGGCGGGGGCGGGGCCCGGGCTGGTACCTGGGGCGGGGCGGGGCCAGGACTGGGGGCGGAGCCTGGGGCGGAGCGGGGCCTACGGGAGAGCCCGGTGGTGGGGTGAAGGGGAAGCTGGGGCCTTAGTATCCTCAGACTCTCCAGCAGGCCCCTAAAGCCACCCTAAATGTTTTAAAAATGTTTTGTACCGTCAACTGACTTTCTATCAAACTGTGGACAAAGCATCTTGAGAAAGTGTTTGTTAATCTTTAGCATAGAATCTAAGTTAAAACAGTGCTTGCTATGCAAAGGCAGTTTCAGGATAAGTCCTCCAATTAGATTGCCATCCCTAAGCCCCGCTGAGCCAGGCGTTGCGCTAGGCATTGGACTGGGCTATAGGGAATATAAGAATATGAAGGCAGGGATTCGGTTTGCCTTATTCACCACTATATTCCCAGCAGTATCTAATGTCCGACAAGTGGTAGGTGCTCAATGATTGAATGAACGAGTGAGTGAGTGAGCTGTGAAAGCCTGAACAGTCCCCTGCTCTGGCGGAGCCCCTACTTTGTTGGGAAAAATTGTGAGGCACATAACTTATTGTGTGGTCCTTCCCCTTGATCGGTCAAGTATGAATGAACTAGAAGATAAACCAGCCTCTGCTCTGAAAGGTGTACAGCAAAGTTGCAGTTATTACAGCACACGGAAGTGGTTTATTCTGACCAGGCTCCACCGAGGGCTTGGGGATTGGGGAGAGGCCCCACAGGGGTGACATACTGGAAGTTAATCATGATTGCACCAATTGGAGAAAGTGGGTGGGGGAAAGGCTGCCCTCTTACACCCAGAGTGGGGTCAGGGAGGCACTTGGGCCTGCTCTTCTGGGGATTCTGAATCCACTTGTCTGTGTTGGAGGCCTGGGACTGACTGAGGCAAAATGTGTCTGCTAGGCCTGATGTCACCTCTCAGCCAGACTTAGGCCAGAGTGAAACTCCCTTCCTCCTCCCCTGGTCAGTCTCAGTCCCTCTCATCTGGTGTGAGGAGCCTAGGAGGGGCTGAAAGGCCCAGGCTGGTTCCTGGACAAGGTCCAAACCTGACTCCACCCCTGCTGCCTAGCTGTGTGGAATGGTACGTGGCCAACTTCCTACCTAAATACTGCCCTGTCTTTGAGAGATTAAATACCACTGGGTGGCACTTACCAAACCTTTCAGGGAGATTTTAGTAAATATGTACAAAGATTAAAAGTCTTTCCTTTTGCAAACAGCTCTTTTTAAACCACTCAACAGTGAGTGGTTACCGAAGAATTTCTGGAACTTCTAATATGCTACTCAATTAGGAATGGCCAAGAGGGGGATTTAGCCCATTCCCCATACACACTTGCTCAAGAACACCAGGACTCGTTGGGACCACAGCTTTTTTCTTTCTAGAGATGATGGTAAATTTATTAACTCCTTTACCTGCAATTCCACATCCAGGAACTCAGTCTACATGTAAGCACAAAGATGTTGATTGCAAAACCATTTGTAATGCTGAAAAATTACAAATAAATTACAGTCGCATCCATGTGTTGGAGCTGTTGAAAAGATGAGACCGATCTATGTGTTACTAATATAGAAAGATCTCAAAGATCTATTAAGTGAAAAAAAGCGAGTCACAGAATTCCATTTGCTTAAAATAAAAAGTATATGAATATATAGTTATGTAATTGTAAAGTTAGAGGTCTGGATATACATGAAAGTATTAACTCTGGTTTCCTCTGGAAAAGAGAGTATTAGAAGGGGCTAAAGAGGGATATATTCAGTTTTTACGCCACTAAGAGCTACTTCTATACTATTTTATCACAACAAGTATATGATCATGGGTGGCTTGTATACTTTTTAAAAAAGAAAATATCTTGGGATCTGTGTCTGGAAGGCAGACTCTATGCCAAAGTAGCCTTATTTTCTCTTAAAATTTAAAAGCAAACTTGATCATGCTTTTCTGCTCAAAAACTAAACACTGTCACCCAAAGGACTAACAGACCACAACGACCACAGCCTCCACCAGACTGAGTCCAGCACAACTAGATGGTGCCCGGCTACCACCACCGACTGCTCTGACAGGGATCACAATAGAGGGTCCTGGACAGAGCTGGAGAAAAATGTAGAACAAAATTCTA